TATATATATATAGTGTAACATTTTATAAAATTGGTTTCTAAAGCAATAATTCTTATTAGGCAGTAGCCTTTGCATTTAATGGCATTTTCTCTCTTTAAAATGATATACATTCCTCTTTAATTGTTGCATTTTTCTGACAAATTTGATGAGTATATATCATCAATCTGGATAAGTGAGCCCTCAGAAGTCCAGTTTCCCTACTTTACTTTACGTGTGGGCTTCATAGTAAAGGCCCCTCAAGTAAGAAAGTTATTCTATAGGTAAAAAAGTATGTTACTTTTACAGTAATTAAATGTATATCCTCAAAGAATATAAATAATTTTTCATATTTCACTATCATGGATCAACACAGGTTACACATACTTGAATACTTATTGAAATGTTTTGTTCCGTTACCACAGTCTACAGCATTTTATAGAAAACAATGTGGAACTTTCTAGCAGATAAAGACCAGGCAGATTTTTCCATTTCAAAGCTAACATTGAGGTTGTTTGGTGACTTAAACTCAAAACTACAATTACCTCACTATATGCAATTTTTTCAAAAATCCCCAATTTTGTGAATACTTAAAAAATCATAAATCCTAATATTTGTTCTGGACTTCTGTTGCTCATAGCAACAGAATTTATCCTGCTATGGAATGGAATAAGGAGTCTGTTGTGGATTAAAGAACTCCACGTCTGCATCCAAATATAGGCTTTGGCAGCTAAATATAGTTACTCTTTGAACTTTTGTATTTTCTAGCTTCGAAGGGGGACAGACCTTAAGAAATGTTTTCAAATAGTGAGAAATCCTTAGCCTGATGCATTTATACCATTAATACATGAAGGTGTTGGGGGGAAAAATGATACACAATTTAGTCTTTTTTCAGACCCTCAACTGGAGGTAACCTATCTCACATGGCTTAGAAATCAAAATGTTTTATGTAGCCAGAGTGCTCTCTTTCTGAGGGGAAACTGGCATGTTCTACAAATCACTGCAGGAATCCCACACAGGGATGAGCCCCAACACAGCAGTCCATCCAAAATGGAGCCAGGTAGTTGAAGAGTAGGAAGAACCATGCCTTTGGCAAGTGCAAGTTCATAATTGCAGTTTCTCCGGGTTAAAGGAGCCTCTACATCCCCAGATGATCACTACTGGTCACAACACTGGACTTATACCAACTGTAGCCAGTGTTGACAGCTCAATGCCTCTGGGTCTCACTCAGAGAGAAATCTGCCACTTACTGAACCACCAACAGCACCTCCTTATTTTGGGGTATATGACGACTTTCTCATCTGAAGATTAACACCCAGACTGATGTGAAGGAGATAGGATTGCCGCTGAACAGACAGGGCAGCAGGCCACCCAAATGGAGTGGTTAGATTAGCAATTAACCATGAACTGGCCAGGTATAGATCTTATGATGGAAGCTGGAACCATGATGCCATTCCTCAGAAGAAACTGATAAATTCCAAATTTCCCATTTATGTGGAACAGCTGTAGCTTTTCTCTACAAAGGAGTGTATGATAAACCTCTAAGCATTGCTAAGTTCACTCTTACTGTATCGACTTGGAGGAAATCTGCTGTAGGGAAGAATTAACACACATCCAAGGAGACAGAAACACATTTCAGACTAAAATGCCATGACCTTAATCTTGTGGAAAGTCATGCTTAGCTAAGGAGGAAAAGAGAAAATTTATTTTAGAGCACTTTATGCTTCTCATGGTACAGAATCAACAGTTTGGAAAGTTTAATGCCTATTTACCAAGAAAAGATATCAGAATTCCCTGAATTCTAACTTGAAGAGAATTCTGTAAGAATGAGAAGACAGCTCAGTTTTCAGGTCCATTGTCTTAAATGTATCTCCTCTTTTAAGGAGCCCGGCAGTTTCAGAGATGCACTTCAAAGCAGAGTAGCTTCTGTTTTCATCACTTTTGACAACTGTGGAGCTTTTTATCATTACAAACATACCTACTCCAGACTGTGTTCTTGAGATAAATGAGCCCTCCAATGGCTACCTTACAGGGTACCATCATTACCAGGTTACTGGATCTTAATCTCAATGAGTGGACAACCACAGGGTAACACTCTCAAATCACTCACTGAGCCAGATTAAGACATAGAAAAGGCTAGAGCTTTAAAAGCATTTGACAAGGGTTATCCATAGCTAGTTATGACGGCCGGTGTGTACACCTCCTCCCTTCCTCCACCGCCTTCACTGTGTGACAGTAGTCAAACCAACACTATTGTAGAAGCCACAGTGATTCACACTATGTGTGACTTGTCACATCTGGAGGTGAGAAGAGTAGGGGTAAACCCTTCTTCCTCTCCCTCCAAGATCAAAGGCATCCAAAATTACCCACTGATTCACCGTCCTGGAAATATTCAAAATCTACTTTGGTAGAATCCCGAAGTATTACATCACCCCTTGAGTTGACAACTGACTGGTAGGAAAAAAAACAAGAACAGTGGAAGTGAAAGCCCCAAGCAGTCCATCTTTCAGAGCTATTCTTCATTTATAAACATCATCCATTCCCGATTTAACTACCACCTTGATGCTGATGACGCCAAAGCCATATGTCAACCTCTCAGCTTCCTTCCAGCTATGTAGTGAACATCCTCACCTGAGTTTCTCTTTGGCAACTCAACCGAGATAGGTCTACACCTTTCCCTAAAACTTGTTCTTTCCCCTTTTTCATCTACCTTCTCATCCAAACCAGAAACCCAGGGGCCATATTTTACTTTTTCCCCTGCTATATTCCTAAATATTGTCCATCTCAGGCGCTACCCCTTGACTCAGCCTCTCTACCCTGCTACTGGCAGGTTTCCTCATCGACTGCTTTACCCTGCCTATCTCCACCAGTCTTGGCCATCGCCTAGGAAGTAACAATTTAGAACCTATTATGTATTAGACCTTGATGCTGGCACTTGATATAAATGATCTAATTTAGTCTTCACATAAACTATGAGATAGGAAGGATTATTAGTGTCTCTGCTTTAGAGATAAGGGAACTAACTCAGAATCGTTTGTCCAAGAGCCCACAGCTAATCAGCGGCAGAGCCAGCCTTGATACCTAAGACAAGAGCCCACATTCTCAAACAGCGCTCCCACTGCAAGGGTTTGAATGTCAAATTTGAAAGAAGAACCCTAACACTGATACTCAAAAGTCTGTATGTCCATCCCACTGATCTTCAAACAACTGCACAATATAAGGATTTAAAAACAAACAAAACTGTAGTTCAACAGCTCTGCAGAGAAGGCAGTGAAAGCAGTGAGCCAGAGCTCCCACTCCGGAGTAAAGGATGCCTGGAGGCCCGCCCAGGCTCTGCCTCGGGTGAGCTGAGTTTTCTTCGTTCCTTTATTACTCCCTCAGAACTTCAGTTTCTGTATCTGTGAAATAAAGAGCATGACGCTCCATATTTTATAGGGTAAATGGATATTAAGTAGTATAATGCTTGTAAAACCCTTAATAAAGATTTAATGAGTACCAAACACTGGTACATTGACAGCGTAAAAGCAAATGAAGACACACACTACAAACACAGAAGCGTTACTCACAGAAGCCAGTAAGCGGCCGTCCTCCTTCATGGCGAGGTAGCGGTTGGCACACACTCCTTTGATGGACACCACCCCTCTCTCTTCTGCTTGGAGTTGTAGTTTGACTAGAAGCAATGGAGAGAAGTGACCTTTGCAGCATCACAGGAAAAGGAGCCAGCTGCACGCTCACGCAATATAAAGACAGGCAGTCCGCTCGGGAAGGGGGGAAGGGGCCGCGATCAGTGAAATTCCCGAGGGTGAGGCTCCGTCCACTGGAGGGAGCGCCTCCAGCCCCCTTCTCACTCCAGGTCAACTGTCTCCCCTTTATGTGCAATTAGCCTCCACTTGGTGGATAACTGCTTTTTTTAAAAAAGGCATTATTTGAAGAAGACATAAAAATGTCAACCACTTGTGAGACTTTCCATGCAACAGCCTAAGTTTAAACTCTCAAAGTTCTTTTTAATCAATTCTTCATAAATAAAATATAATCAGATTGCTCACTATTATCTTTTGGTTTATATTTCCTTGAGTTTCAGCACGTCCTACCTTGTACCTTCCCCTTCTACACCAATGCATTTATTTTTCTTTACAAAGGGAATGTGATATATAGCTTTTTTCCTTCTGCAAATATCTAGTCAAAAAACAAAATGCCTATGCTTAATTTGCTCATACAGTGTGGAGAAAGATTTTCAGGATGTAAAACTGAAGAGGCTGGTCTGTTTTACTGCGTTATCGATTTTAAGCAGATTGTAGGAAAACAACAAATAGATATTACTTTAGTATAATGATAATGCCACATAGACAAATCATCTAATTCAAATAAAAATGAAGTTAAATTTTCCTGTTTTGCTCTTCCTGCAAATTTCCAATTTGCATTCTATTCTGTCTAGAACAGCATTCGCTAAAATGTCCTTGGCTAACAGAGGCTACATAAAAAAAACAGGCTCTGGGGCCAAATAAATTTACGAAACAACTATGTTGTTTATACGAAAAGCACTTTAGACACAAAGATCCAGGCAAACTGAATGTAAAAATGTGGGGGAAAATATAAAATGCACACCCTAAGTGTAAGAATGCTGGTATGGCTATCTTAATATCAAATGACGTAGACATCAAGGCAAGTAGTTTAACTAAAGATAACAGGGTTATTTCATGATAACAGAGTCAGATACATCAAGACTTAATAATCTAACTGACTTTTTATTGTCTTTTTATCATTGAGTTTAAAGAGTTCTTTATTCCAGATACAAATTTCTAATCAGATATATGATTTGCAAATATTTTTCCCATCCTGTGGGTTGTACTTTTACTTTCTTGATGTTGTCCTCTGAAGCATAAACATTCTTAATTTTCATGAAATGCAATTTACCAAGTTTATTCTTTCACTGTTTGTGATTTTGGTGTCATATCTAAGAAAGCATTGCCTAAATAAAGGTCAAAAAGATTTACACCTGTGCTTTCTAATCCACTTGTAGTTTTACCTCATCCATTTAGGTTTTGATCCATTTTGAGTTAATTTTTATATGTGATATGAGGGTCCAGTTTCATTCTTATGCGTGTGGATATGTCCAAACTGACAAGATCACTACGCCCAAAGTCTGCAGAATGTACACAAAGAATACTCCCAAGAATAAATTATTTCTGGACACAAAACAAGTCTTGATACATTTAAAAGGACTGGAATCACACAGAGTATTATAAAGGAGTAACAAGATAACTAGAAAATCCCCCAAATATTTGGAGATTAAGCAATACACTTCTAAACAAAACACAGATTAAAAGAAATCACAAGGGAAATGAGAAAATATTTCTAATTATCTGATAATGAAAACTCAACATGCTTAAAGGGAAAGTTATAGCGTTAAAGTTGATACTAGAAAAGCAAAAAATTATGAAAACCTAGGCATCTACCTTAAGAACTAGAAAATGAAGAGCAAATTAAGCCCAAAGTAACAGCAGAGGGACTACTTACTATGTAAAATTATACACTTGAATATATTATGTAAAATTATACACTTGGATAAATTAATAGGAACTAATCCCAAAGTGTTGATAGTAATTGGGAAGTGATGAAAGAAAAATAGTATTTTCCTTTCATATACTTTTTGATACTAAAAAGTTTTTCTTGGTTGAGCATATGCTTCTTTTATAATAAGAACATGACAATTATTTTAAAACAATCTAAAATAAAAAACCAAGTGGGTGCCATATTAAACATGACAATGAAAAAAATAGCATCCCTGAGTTCCAAGAGGGAGAGGAAATTTCTCAATTAAAGGAGATGTAAGAGAGACATCAATCAAAAGCAATGTGTAAACCTCATTTGGATCCTGATTAATGCAAACCAACTGTAAAAATATGTTGTAAGACCACAGGGGGCATTTTAAATACTAACTGGCTATTTTGTGCTTCTAGGAGAGTNGATAAAAAAGCTGTGGGAAATTCACACCATGGAATATTATGTAGCTGTAAAGAAGAAGAATCTCGTTCCCTTTGGGACAGTATGGATGGACCTGGAGAATATTATGCTAAGTGAAATAAGCCAGGCAGCGAAAGATAAATATCACATGATCTCGCTTATACATGGAATCTAACGAACCTAATAAACTGATGAACAGAATAGATTCAATGACATGGAAGCATAGATGAGACTGACGAATGTCAGAGGGATGGAGGAGGGCGGGTGGGTGGAGGGGGAGCGAGTAACCAAAGAATTTATATGCATATATGCACAACCCAAGGACACGGACAATGGTGGGGAGAGGACCTGGGGAGGGGGAAGGAACGGGGTGGAATGGGTCATTGGGGAGAAAAAAGGACATCTGTAATATTTTAAAAAATAATAAAATTAAAAAAAAAAAAAAGAATTTAAAAAATTTTTAAGCATGAGAATGAAACTGTGATTTTTTTTAAGTCCTTGTCTTTTAGAGATACATATTAATCATTTATATATCTAATATGTACTACTACATACATATCACTTATATCATGATTTGTGTAATCATTTTTAAACGATTTGGCGAAATATGATGTCTAGGATATACCTCAATCCAATGGCCAGGAAGGGGAGAAAGATCTAGGGAGGTATAGATGAAACAAGATGGGCACTGTGATGATAACTTCTGAAGCTGGGTGACGGGCACATGGGGGGAGGGGGATTCCTTGTGCTGGTCTTTCTATTTTTGAATATATATTTGGAACTTTCTCTAATAAAAAGTTTTGGGGGTCATAAGAGAACGGAAAGTAATCAAAGGTAGATCACTGGGCAATTAGTGTTAAATTTAGGTAGCAATGTATTGAGGGGTTACTTAGACCATTACAGCTGCTATAAAAAAAATACCATAAACTGGGTGACTTAGCAATAAACACTTATTTTTGACAGTTCTAGAAGCTGAGGAATCCCAAGATCAAGGAGCTGTTAGATTCAGGGTTCAGGGTCCAGTGAGTGCGCTTGTCCTGGTTCACAAACAGCCATCTTCTCTCTGTCCTCACACAGTGGAAGGGGCCAGGGGGCTCGGTGGGTCTCTTTCCTAAGGACACTGATCCTGCTCATGAAGGCTCCTCCCTCACGACCTCATCACCTCCCAAAGGCCCCACCTTCTAACACCATCACATTGGGGGCTAGAATTTCAACATATGAATTTGGGGGTGACAAACATTCCATCCATAACAGGAACACAAACTACGTGAATGTTTCAGAGAGTCCTTAAGAGGCTTCGTGGGTCAGCACAGCGTGAAATCTCAGCGGGTACTGAAGGGCACTGCGCAGTGCAGTCCAGTGAAACTAAATCCAGTTACATTCAAGTCAGCCCTCAGTTGTCGCTGTTCCATGTTGGACGGCTTCATGGGGAGGAAAGATACAATAAAATAACCCTACTTGAGATTTGGAAGACTCTCACTAAGCAAAGCCTTTGGATCTGACAACACAGCAAAGGCATAAACCAAAGATACATGGGATTTATTTTTGACTGGGGGGGGGTAGGGGGAAGAGGGTCTTCTTAAAGGAGTAATTTTAAATATTAAGTACCTCGAGATAGGGAATGAAAGAAAATATATTCCATTTCCACATAAAGAGTACACTGTAAAATTTTCCACGTTTCAGGAAATGAAACAATATAATGAACAGACGAGCTAGCAAGACTATGCTCTGAAAAATGGAGGATGACATAATCCCCAACTTTTCTGAACCTTTAGGACGCACTCCCTTCTCTGCCAACCAGGGAAGCTGGTTCTCAGCCAAGCTTCTGGAAACAGTATAAGTAATCATTTATATTTTCATTCTTAAATGCTGCAGCCTTCCTTTTCACCTTATGTAAAAACTAGCCCTTCCTTTAATATTTTGAACCAGGTTTTGTGTTATACACTTAAAAAGCATCTGCCATAGATAGCTCTCCAAAAAGAAAATAAAAGATTTCCTCCATGTTAATAACATGAACCCTGCCACCTAAAAAGGGCTTAATAAATGCCTATAAAATAGGCAGTATAATGAGACCCACCCTGAGGCTCAAGCTGACCTAGGCGCCAAGGTTACCACCTTCTCTGGAAAGCCTTCTGTGGTCGGTCCTGTGGCAGGCAGTTAGCCAGATGTGAGCAGAGCAAGGACAAGGGGCCAGTTACAGAAGGTCACCAGGGCAGAACCTCCCAGACACCTAGCAATGGAAAAAACTGGTAGAGCAAGTATTGGAAATAAGGTATTGTTAAGTTAATCAGAACCTCGCCCCTAACACACCTTCTCCACCAGAGAACCTCTGGTCAGGTGGTTAAGCCAAGTGGTAGAACACCCCCCACCCCCCACCCCGCCCTTAGAGGAGAATGGAGAGGGGAGCCCCTTCTAACTTCCATACAGGGATGACAGGACAGACCCTGACAGGTCAGTTTGAAGAAGAAAGCAATTAACCCTTCCTCTTCGAGTGTACTTTCTCTTGCTTGCCCAGTAAATATCGAGTTTGAGTCTTGGCTCTGAATTCTCTCCTTAGCCAGCACTCCAGTACCCAGGTTGCAGAACCCAGGTCTGGTCTGACCTCACCAGTCAGACACCTGGTGCTGTTCCTGCTGCCTACAACAGGTCCCTCCTGCTCCCACCCCTCAGTTTAGGATGGGAACCCCTCCTCCACACTCTCCTGTG